GTTTTACTGTAAGAGTACGTAGAATCTTGTACCCACCTGAATTTCATTTCCATTACTCTCGCATACAAATATGTCTGGTATTGTTAGATTAGTCAGATGTTCTTTTCATACTAAAAAAGTAACAGCATTTAACCAAAATATGACAATACCACATCAGTGATAATGAGTAAACCAGGACAGGCAGTGCCTGGAACTTCCCTTTAATTTAGATGGACAAACTTCCTTTTTTACTATCATTGGAACTTCAGTGAAAGCCTTCCCTTATCTTCCATAGTTCACACAAGGCAGAAAAATCACAGATAGAATAGCTATTGCCCTTGAAAAGAAGAGCAAGTGTTTCAGAGCCAGCAGAGACGCAGTACTATCCGGACCGGCACACATTTGCAGTTTAGCTTAGCTCAGAATAATTTCACTGGAATAATGGCATAAGACTGTAGATGCCAATCTGCACCCTTTCAAACATGCTCAAGCCTTTCATCAGAGCATCAAATTCATACAAAGAGTTGCTCATCACAACCCATAAAAGTTACCAGAGTCTAGCATCTGTGAAATGAGGAGCTTCTGACAGTTCCAGAACACCTGCCTTTGGGAAGGGAAATCGGATTTCCCCAAAGTACTGGGGTTCTCACAATAAGCAGCCAGCTCACTATTTTTTTCCAATAACTCCCATTTACACTAACATTTTTAGCTGGGTCTTCTTTTTCGTTTTTAGTGTTTTCAGAACCCTCTAGTTACAAACCAAAATTACGTGCAGAAAAAGGCTTACTTTTTTTCCTCCTCAGAACAGAAAGTACAAAAGATAATATGTCCTTCCTACATGTTTTTCCATATATTTAATTTAGAACATACACACATCTGAAACAGAGCCTAATGTAAAAATGGCCACGGGAGGAGTCCCAGAAGAAATTACTAAAAATACTTCTGTGTTACTTTAAGTTGCCTTCTTCCTACCCTTTTTGGTGATAGTCACTAGTCACTTTAAGTTGAAAAAAGCTCTAACTGCTCTTACTCCTCTTTTTGTTAAAATGTGTTTAAGGGGATCCTGTAGTTAAAGCCAGAATTGATGGACTACTATACTTGTAAAAGATACCTATATCTAAAAATATTTGAGATCAAAAGCCTTATTAAGACCTAGACTACGTGAAGCTCTAGGGGTGAGGGAATAGGAATAAAATGAACCCACCCCAAAGTAAAGACTCTCAGTAATCAGTAGTTAGACTACACTAACAGGAAATGACACTTGAAAAAGTCTCCCTCAGCTAAAAAAATATTTTGTCAAGCTGGCATGTAGATTTCTCAGTTTTAGTAACCATATAAAGAAAAATGTTCCAGTTATTGAATACAGTCAGCAATAATCAACCTCAATCCAAAGGACTAGTGGCTCATCTAAAATCCAGTCTTCCTACAAAGAAAGGAAATTTCTCCAAGGACAGAAAAACATGCACATTCCATTTAACATGACAAGTGTAAAAAGAAGTTGCTTGTTCACTGAGAAAGCAAATAAGTGAAGAATTCAGGTAACAGTTCTGGAAAGCATAAGGACAGAGGGAGAAGAAAAATGATGAGGAGATGCAGAACTATGAAATAAAAAGACTGTGACAGCAGAGATATTGTTTCAGCAACTTGATCTACAAGAACAGATTTGAGCAAAGACATTACCTTCATTAGCAAGACATGATTGAAAATAAGAGAGTCACTGCAAGCTGCTGTAAGAAAGCACAACTTTGTTGTACAGTAACTAAGGACAACACCGCTCTTGGGGTGCTGACAAGCAAGATGGGAAGCTCAGGGCTACATCCACGGGCATCATCTTTAAGCATCACAAATTTATAAAGCATTCCTTTCTCTGAAGTAAGATGCTATCAATTCTTTCAGAACCTGGCCCACGACAAACCAATCACGTGGCCAGCTATGTGGCCTCAATGTACTACATGAAAATAATAACTTATACAGTTACCTAGTTTAACTTCCCTCATTAACACAGAAGCTTTTATCTGGCATATTTCATCTCTGTTTCAACTACTACAGAAGCAAGACAAGAGTAAAAGCTGATCTGCAACATACAAGCACTGCAGAAAGAAATACATTTTAAAAGAGCAATGGGCAAAAATTAGGTTTTTTGTTCTTGTTGTTTCATTAATACATTAGGAGATACTTAGTTAATATTCTGGCTGCCTATCCAATTAAAAATTACAGCACGGACATGGACATAAGGACTACCTATAAATATACCCACCCAAGCAGCATTGAAGAGAGGAAAACAATGGAGTTAGAAGCCTAACAGAATAAGCATCTTGAAATGCAAATTAAGGGAATATCATAAAGAAAAAAAAAACCACAAACAAACAAAAATAAAACACGCCTAAAAAACAAGCAAAACCAAACAAAATCCCAACCTTTAAACCACTCTGCAAAACAGAGAAGCAAAAAATTCAGCTAATCTCAACTGTGCTGATAGAAAACATTCTGTGGAGCCAAGTCTAAAATCATCTGGGGGATTAAGCTGCAAGCCCCTTGCGTGGTATAGTTTAGTGTGACATGTTCCTGCCCATAACAGGGGGGTTGTAACTAGATGATCTTAAGGTCCTTTCCAACCCTAACTATTCTATAATTCTAAGAAAATTTTCAGGCAGCCAGAGAAACGTATTAATCACTTATCTTGCATTCTCCAAATGTAAAACTTTGCTAATCACATCACATCCGGCCATACTCATAACAATTTCAGATGCATCAAAATACATTAAAAAACTCCAGTGTTAAGCAGAGGACAAGGCACTGAGAAGAGAGACTAATGCTATAAAGCTGTTCACTAGCATACAAGAAGCATGATGATGTTTTTATGCTGCTTCATAGAAAATGTTTGCTTACTGCAGAAAAACCCACAGCGCTTCAGGCTGCTATGAAAAAGCGAAAGGATAATCCCTTAATTTTTTTTCTAGGCTGTCATACATAACTTCAGCCTTGAAAGGTAAAGTAATGAAAGCACAGTAAACCTGGTGAAAGCATACTGAACAACCTGGTACTCTGGAGCTAAAAAAGACAGGACATTCACCAGAGCTCCTCTGGCTCTTAGCATTGGAAGCTGGAGGAGGGAGTCCCAGAGTTCTGGACAGTTTTCAGCACTGACTTAATACTACCATGAACATTAGATTTCTTGCATGGCATAGATAAAAATGCCTATGTACAACTCATTTTCAAATTCATTAACCACTGCACAACAAAGAAGTCTTATATTCTGCAAGATGCACAGCAATATCTCTTCATAAAACCCAACAGAAGTCTTCGCCATTAAAAGCAACAGATAAATCATCAACTTCCTTTAATGGCTCAAAGAAACTCAGAATTTATGACTTAACTTGAAACTACAGCTGCTGAACAGTAGTTATAAGCAAATTCAAGGCTTTGGTCAGACAACCAAATCAGTTATAAATTGCACTGCTTAAAATGTTTACTTACTCAGCTAAAAAGCTTTAGAGTGTATAATCTGGGAATCTGAAAGTATTTTTCTGGAATGAGAGGTGGGGAGGAATATTAGATTGGTTTTTTTCACTCTTCTCACGCATGCTGTGATTTAGTGATATGAAAATCTTTGTATATAAGCTTACAGGCTTATTATAGGCACTACAGGTAGTGCTTATAAGCCTATCGTTTTTACAATGTAAGGACAAAGCAACTAATCGAAGGAATACTCTGGAGATTTCAGCAGGTTTCTCCAGCCCAGCTTGCACCTATCTCAGATTGAAACCCAATCATGTTGCTTATCAGTGTACACATTCTACTTTACAGTAGGAAGTTAAAACACTTGCAGAGATTTTAAAACGCCCAAGCAACGTAAGGCTCTGAGCTCTATTTCCTGAAGTAGAATCTCATGAATACAAACTCATCTAGAACAACGATAGAAAAATGGCAAGGAAGAATTAATGCAAGATGTCATAGTGTACCAATTGCACAAATGCATTCATTGTTTCAATCTGATAGTACAGCTACAATTTTCATTAGAATTTAGATTAGTTTTGCCAGAGATGCCAAGAGAATTCTCCGGTGCACAACAGTTTGGTCAGTGAAGATACAAGCTGTTTCCAGTTTCAAACCTACAGATAAAAGCACTTTCAAATCTAAAAATACTTATGTAAAAGTCTGAAACTTCTTCTGGTTTAGGAAGATGTCTGTTACTATTAACCTTTCACTGAAAGGGACCCTCATCCTCCTCCCCCAGGAGGACAGAAGACGACAAAAACGGGTTGGAGGTAAAAAAAAACCCTTTCACCTATCCCCATGCAAAAATCAACAAGCAGGTATGTTTCATTAAATTCCTTTTCTTCACAGTTAATGAACTGAAAAAGTGACTGGTGCAGATCATATTAGAGTGACAGCCTACTACTCAATTACCCAGATGATTTGCCATCTGACTACTGGATAAAGTTAGGTTGTAGGGGTTAAAACAAATTGTCCAAGTATTCCTGGAACAAAATGTAAGTATCTGACCTATGTTTGACTCAAAGCAAATACATAGTGTTAAAAAACCAAAGACTCTGTAAACAGAAAGAATAAAAAAGCAGGAAGCATTACTATCACTCTTGCCTCATCCTAAAGTGAAGAGCTGAACATAAGCCATGCCGAGTTCACTGGCTTTGGGTAGCCTACACTTAACAGCTGAGACTACATCTTTCTTTTGAGACTCTCTGGAGGCTGCATTGTTCCCTCTCCTGCCCTTAGCCTTTTCCCAACAATACTGCACCAAGGCAGAAGCAGCATCTCTCAACTTAAGTCCTTCCTCACCGTGGCTCTTAACAGTGCTATGAGAATATTAAACCCTTTCTGTTCAGAGTTTCAAGCATTGCTGCCTCCCACATTGAAGCCTTCTCCCCAACCATATTTGTTACATCTATAAAACATCTACCTCCTCATTTTGTACATAAACTACAGTGTTTAGATACACTGCAGCATTGCTCTAACATATAGCAATATTAAAAAAGCTGACTATATAAACCGATTACGTCTCACTTGGCAATGTAAACAAAGATCAATTCCTGATCTGAATTGGTAAAAATTAAGGTAAAAATAATTCTTTCCCATTTTAAAAAGTAAAGCACTTCAAATTTATTGTCTTTTCCATTTCATCTATACCTTAAAAACCAAAAAGGCTTCTTTTGCATCAACGAACTTATTCTCTTATTTGAATCCTGACTTAACAGTTCTCTTTCTGCAACCACAGACAGAGAATTCAACGACATCTCTTCTCACAGGAGCTTCAGTCACATTCTTCCACCTAAGACAAGAATAATTTCTGGGGCTCAGCCCACAGTGTTAGAGACCTGCTCAGCTCCCACCACAAAACACTTCAGTCAAAAGCTCTGTACACGTAGCAGCTGACATGTAACTGACTCTTGCCAGCATTCAATGCTGTATTAGGGGCTTTAACAGAAGTAAATCTAGATAGACTTCAACAAGCAACAGTCCTAAGAGGTGTCATTTTAAGCAAGAAATCTGACGAACGCACAGCCCACTTGTTCTTTATGGGCTATAGAACACAATTAGTTCTAACTAGCAGTTTCAGCAAACAGGAAATGTAAATGTAATCCTCCTTTTAGATCACTACAGTGATGTACGTTCTTTATTTCCAGAAAATGAAACACAGCTTTTAGTTCATAATTAGAGAGAATTAAGTGGGGTGTAACCTATGGGGCCCACATAGCAGAAAATCCCTTCCACAGCTGCACGTGAATGCAGGAGTCTGAGCTAGACAAACCAAGGGCTCCCCCCAGAACTGTGTCTTAAAGCAAAACAACTGATCATGTACTTTATGTTATCAAGTGAAAAACCTTAGCAGTTACAACAACTTGACACAAGGCTTCAGTCTCCAGAAGCCAATGATATCGAGGTAAAAAGTTTTAGTCCTTTGCTACCAAGTCAGGTGGACACTGGAATTTATAAATTCCTCCTTGCTGTGCAAGCAGGTTTTGGACTGTACCCCTTCAAAAGAAGAGGCAGGATAAGATATGAACCACTGCAGAGCAGGTGAAAGAGTCAGAGGTAATGTTACTCATTTCCTTGTTGCTGGATATGGAGAGAACAGGCCCAGAAGCACCTTGCCCCAACAAGATGCAAACACATGGTTAATGGTTTAGCTCAGAGCCCTGAAAAATTCTCATTTTGGAGCAAGCTAATGATAACAATTACATTTTGCATTTATTGAGAAGAAAAATAACGTTGAAATCAGAGGTCAAAAGTGATTTGCCACAAACTGTTTGGAAAAAAGATACCTGAAAATATGGAAGACCTGCATGGAATTTTCTTTCTGTACACAGATGCAGAAGACAGTTGATCAGACCTTTTTAAATTCAGGAGACTATTGCTATGCAGCAAGAAAAAATGCAACAGAGCTGAAGCTCTTAAGAGCCACCTGCTGCTCACATAGGAAACTCGTTCATTAATGACAAACTTGACTCATCATATCAGTAATCCATGTTTTTAATACCACCTTTAAGCACCTCTTACCCAGCTTTTAAGGATGACTTTACAGACTGCCACTATCCAAGGATGATGTGAACAAAGATTTTTACATTCCAAGGGCTGGACCCATGTATGCACTACCTCCTCTCAGACACACCCAAAGGCTGCAGCTTAACTCAGTGCTAAAATTACACAGACTACTGTATTAATAGATGAAGGGGAGACTTTTAATTCCCCAATCTAATAAAAAAACCAACCAACGAACCAAGCAGAAACCCAACAACCAGCAAACAAACACACACACACACCAACCAAGCCCAGCACCTCTTACCTAGGGAACTATCCATAGAGCACTAGAAGATACCAGATCAGCAATTGATTTCACTTCAGAGAACCAAAGCAAACATCATGACTATTTTGTGATGAGCTCTACATTACCACAACATAACACCAGTAACATGTCAGGGTTCAGCACTAGATACTTAAAAACAAAGATTGTTTCAACATTCTTCTTCAGATTATTTTGCTAAAGTCATGACCTTCAAGAACACTGTAGATAGCAATCAGGCAGACATATTTGCCTGAGTACTGCTGCCTGTAAGAGGCCTGGCATAAACACCTTATATTTAATTTTTCATTAAGTCTCAATCCTGCAAATATTGATTTTTCATTCTATTTGTCAACTTCATCTAACTCTACTCAGACAATTAATTCCTAAGTCCAGAAACTGAAGAATGGCTCATTAAGCATCTGCTGAACATTAAGGAAGGCTTCTAATCCTGCATTAAATCTTATTCTCTCCCAATTTTTTTTACTTTTCAACATACACTCAGTTAGCAATTACATATTATTGTGAAAGCAATAACACACACAACTCCTGAAGATGCAACGGACATCAAACTGAAGGCTGTAGAAGTGAACAAGTAAGATACTGTACCTGAACAGAACGAAACCAAGCAACTCAGCAGCTGCCCACCTCACATGATCATTCACATCACTCAGCTACAAAAGGGAAAACAGGACATTCAGAATGTAGTTATAACACTTGAGGACTTTGCAACATTTTGAGCCAGGTTAAACATTTCAAGCCAAGTTAATCAGGAAGATAGAATAATTCACAAGTTCATACAACAATGGGGAAAGCTAAAAATCATGTTCAGCCTTAGCTGAAATGGCCTCATCCTTGCTCATACACAGTAACTGCAAGCCAGTCAAGGAGCAGACAGACCTCTTTTTTTACAGCTTAAGTTGCTTTTTCCCAGCCATTGTTATGCAGACTATTTACTACAAAGCCGTTACCAACTAATTTTGGATTGTGTTTCTTTTTAAGCAGGTTCCTTTTTTGTGGTATCAGGCTGAATATTTTCCTGCTCTAAGTCAAATTATCCTAATGTTAACAGACCCTATTATTTCTACTCGTAGTGTTAAGGAAAGCTTCCTTTATTTCACAACCTCTGATTTAGAATAGAACAGTAACACCACAGACACAAAACCTGTCAGTGATGCGTTTACTCGCACACCACATACTTCTTGCTGTGTGCTTCTAAGCCCACAGTACTTACAGCCACATGCATTAAGCGCCTGATAGCCTTGTTTTTCCCTGAGCCACAGCATGCCACCGCAACAGTGTACACGCCAGAAAGAGAGAGAACTGGATCCTGGAAGAGAAAACAGCAATATTTAATATCCACCCAAAGAGCGACTTCCTAATTCTGATCTTAAACCTGCTCCACTTCGGGCCTGGAATCTGCAAAAAAAGTAACCTGGTTGCTTAACAGTTTACTAGGGATGCGTTACAAGACAGCCACCAAAGCAGAGCTGTCATTACCGATTTCAGGGGGACAGGAATTGCCACACCACAGGCTGCCAAAGACAGTATCTGGTAGATGTGTTATTTTGCTTCTTATTCAATATCTGCTATTGAACCACTACTAAACCCTCAAGAACGAACCACCATCCATTTTTAATCATTACAATCTGCTCTGCTCCTTGTTACTGCTCACGGAACTATAGAGAGTAAGTATGAGACTAAAAAATACACAACTAAGCACTTTTGTTCTTGTACTGTTGAAGGTCATATGTGTAACAGTAGGGCCAGGGATTAATTCAGAACTAAACTTACCTTATCTCTGCACAGACTCTCAATGAGAGCATCTGCCTCCTCCATTCTCCCATACGTGACCAGAGCAATTCCAACTGCAAGGCCTCGCAAAATCTTCTCATGCTGGGTTTCCTGTGCATAGCCAACCATGTCCTCAATAGCTTGAGCATTTTTAAATCACAACATATCCAGTTCCAGTGCAAAGCCAGCTGTCTCAACTGCACAGCACAGAAAAGAAAAAAAAAAAAAAAAAATCAAGCAAACTCTGTTCCCAAAAGCTGTAAATACTCTATCTAGAAAATCACAAAAGAAGTAGGCCAACAGATAAAAGAGGAGACTGTTTAAAGACGTAGCATGTCTCACCAATATTTGGTATAATCCCACAGACCAGTCCTGACAGGACCTCTGAATATTAGGGCCATATAACTAAAAAACCATGCTTACCAGGAAAAGGCAAGTAAATAAAACACAGCTAAGGCAACCTATGCTGGTAAAAGGAAACCTGAAAAAAAAAAACAAAACAAAACAAACAAACCTGCACCAAAAAAACCCAGATGCCTGATAAGGCCTCAGATGGTTATTTGCTTTGAAAGCAGAATATTGACCTGTCACTGCATCATCCTGGCATAGATTTGTTTTCAGCAAATCGTACACATATTGACCTGCTACCATGGCAGCCAGACCAAAACCCAGGCTGCCACCATGTCAGACAATCTAGAGAAGCATATGCAAGTTTAGTCATCATAAAACCAGGAAAAATACGGCTTCAGCTGAAGTACACATTTTTCCATCAACATAATGCTGCAAACTTCCAGTCTCAAACCACCCAACATTCGAAATAATCTGTTAGAAATACCACTTACACCATCTCAGGCAGTAATTCTTATGAAAGAGGCAGAAAACTATAGAAATAGTGGTTCAAAAGCCCATAAACAATGAGTACCAGAAGCTTCACACATAGCACAAGACACTTTCTAGCATCTTCAAAGTCTTTCCCCACTGAGTGATTTACGTAAAACCCTAAAACTCTGCCATGTGTAAAAACTGCTGCCCAATAATACTTTTTAAGTAGAAAGGTAAATCAGTAACCCACTTGAACTGTCTACATCCTCTTTTTCATAACAATGGATACAGGAAGAACAATACATTTGCAATAAGATGAGTGGAATCCTTTCACAGAATTTTTAAAGCAGTGTGAAATTCCCCAAAGAGAAGAAGGGAACATGCTGGGAAAATACTAATTTGTTCCTAACTTGAAAATGAGACTTTTTGTAGAGGTTTACAAACAGTGAGTAGTGAAGTAAAATAATTTTTTTAATAAGTTGCATTAAACCTATTGGGCAGCAGAAGCATTTTGTGGCTTATTCTTTTGACAGCTAAGCCGTAAGAATTAACAGTCCCTGAATAATGCAGGTCTACTAGTAAAACTAAGTTGATACTCAAGGAGTAAGAAAGATGAAGCTAGATTGACTGTCAACTGTTTTCTAAATTGAAAGAATTTCCTAAAAATCTTACCTAAACATTGAGCAATAGGTTGTTAAAACCAAGCTTTATATTTAAGGCCCAAAAGAAGTGTAAGTACCATACTACTGCCATCGTCTTAGCCACCTCTAACCCTAAACAAGCTGGATACTCCCAACAAAACAAAGGTTCATCACTGAACCCAGTACATACATAATTACTGGCTTTCTTCAGCTGGTTCAGCAAATAACCAGTGATGTCCCCACCACGGCTATCATGAATGAGACCCAAGGCATACAGGCCCCCACCTTCCTGGTATGCTGACCCTGGCAAGGTCTCCTTGGGTTGGTAAGTTGCCATTAGCTGCAATGCTTCTTTCACATGACCTCTATCCCCAGCATCCAGCAGGAAGAGAAGATAGTGGGAAGTGAAAGGTGAAAAAGCACTATATGCACATATTTCACAATGATATGTAAACATATCAGGAGAAAGCAAGTTATAGCCTTTACTTTCTCCACAAAAATCAGCCTTTCAGTCAGAAAAGAATCCTTCTGTACTAGGGTTTTATTAACCACAATACACAAGTATTCACCGATTCATGACAAATTTGGCCTGAAGCTACACTAGTTCATTCACTAGACCACCTTAATGAGGGCTGAGACACACAACACAAAGACTTCTTGCTATTTCAAAACAGCTCTAAATATGCCATCTCTGTGCATGAAATTGAAGAAAATGACTACTCAGGTCACGATTCAAACTTACTGAAGCTTACTACAGTAAGGACAGTATTGTCCTAATACCACATAAAAAATATACACCTGAAGTTTTAATAGCTAGAAACTATTGACTCTGTTCAAGTCACAAAGGAAGAGAATATCTAGGAAGAGCCCTTGAGCTGTGTTAGACTACCACCTTTTTGATGCTCAATAAAACATGCCATAAACTACACCGGGTATCAGAGAAGATAGACTAGATAAAGCACAGCTTTTCCTTTAGTGCAGACACCAGCTTTGTTACAGCCGCATCTCGCAATAGACTCGGTAAACTGGAGTGCAGGCATCTTTCCAAAACCCTATTTCAATGTTTTCAGCTCTCACAAGTCAAGCATTATACACTCCAGAGAGCAATGAACACATTACCTTGTGTATAACACCCAAGCTGGCAACAGCAGTAAACTTAGCCCAGTTAGTGGCCCTGGCCAGCCGCTCCAAATCATCTCTGGAAGATGAAAAGAGAAAAGTTCCATAAAGTTTTTCATACAGCCTGTTCCTTGTCCTGAAAGAAAGGTTTCACAGCACTGAAAACATCTTTCAGATCAGAAAAGCAGCTCCAGAAGGCAAGAAAATAACCACATTTCCACTTCACACCTCTCTTCTGTTCACCAGCCCTGATTTTTGGGTGGTCATAATCAACCTCCATGATACTGGTCATCTCAGAGAAAGATGAGAACAACTGCCCAAAATACAGCCCATCAATTCTCTGGGAGAAACCCTAGTGGAGTTTCTGAAGCTTTCCTCAAATGCCTGGTAAGGTTAACCCTGGCATCTGCCTTCCAAGAGTCATTCACCATTGTCAGTCTCTACCAAAAACAAAAATACATCATCTCCAAAATACTCCAGCTAGCAAACAGAACAAACATTCCTGATCTCTACCCTCCAAACTGCTCACACGGTTAGCAGTCAAATCAAGTCAGTTTGTCAAGAGAGAGAAAGCCAAACAACTCCAGCTTCTTCCCTCTGCCTGCACATTAATTTTCAGATCCTTTGTGTACTCCTGTGTAAGCCTAGTGTTTCACTGACACCCTTTTAACAGTATCAAGCAGAGCAACAATGTTCTTCGAAGACCTCTAAATGACATTAGAGCTTCCTTTCCTAAATTTACCTAAGAGGCTGGTCCCTGGTTGTACCACAATGCATAAAGGAGTTTGCTATAACTGTTGCTGTATGAAACACAGAATTCTGAACTGCATCCTGAAAGAACAAAACCCATCAGTATCACCGGTCAGCAAAACGCATGCCCTAGGCCACTTTGCATGCTTGCCAGTGCACCACAAAAATGGATTATAATTGTGTTTAATTTAACTGCCAATTTACCTTTAATCAAACTACTAGATAGTTAATACATTTTGACATATCCTCAACCGGTCTTTCCAGTGCAAACCAATCCTTTTGACAAGTTTCTGTTAGAGATGCCATTACTTCAACTGCAGCTTAACTAGAACCCCTCCTTCTGGTTCCCACAACTGAGCACTGCAGTGTGTGTGCTGCTGACATTTTCAAGCCACCCCTGGAACACCATGCAGGATCAGTTCCAAGCAGGATCACTCCTAAGACTTAACCAGTAAATGCAAAAATATTTTCCAATACATTTGAAATGCCTCCTGCAATAGATGAGCCTGTTGACAAGCACCCCACCCCCTAACGTTTTTGCTGACAATGCGCATCTCTTTTCACATATAAAAAACTTGTCCTATGGTTTCTAATAATCATTTAGCTTAAAAGAGTCTAATTTACCTGTAAGTTTTCATTTACCCACCCTTGAGTAACACTTCACAAAACAAAACAACTTACTCAGTTCACTTAGCACTGCCTACAGTAGTTGATCAGTTTTGTCTTCAATAAGTCAGTATTAGTCTCTCAGCATGTATAAGGATTTCTTCAGCCAAGCTGAAAGTATAGTCTCATGAACACGTCAACAAACATACCAAGGTACTGTAACCTAGAGTCCTGGCTGACTCCACTCCCCAACCAGCAACATTTGCAACGGATCAGTTGTGGACATACAGGGTGAGTTCATCTATCTTACTGACCGGATGAAAACAAACCCACCAAAAAAACAAAAAAGGGATGACTGTGAAGAAAAGGATTAGTTTCTATACCAATAGGAAGAAAAAAAAAGAAAAAAGAAAAACAAAAGAAAACATGATAAAAGCAGCTTGACACAAGATCATGCTGTCAGTTCAAACAATGATTTTATGTCCTTCTTTGGGTGCAGTCAGCTCTTCTTCAGCCACACATGTTCAAGTTTTACATGTACCCAGGGAGGTCCTGCTAAAACATAAGATGATGTAAAAGTAGCAACATGGTCAAAACAAACACAGGATGAAACAGATGAATCCAAGACAACTATACCCAAAAAAGCTCTTATCTTAGTGTTTTTGAGAATCACAAGGCCTGTATTGTTGTTGCGTATTAAAAACAAAAGAAGGAACTCAATGGCCATTTCCCCACTTAAAATTTTTATCATTTTTGAGATCTGGTCCTTTGGCTCTGGGTTCTTTACATACAAGCAAAAAGAAAAAGCATGAGAAACCAACCATGGCTATGTTACAGTTCAGTTCATGAGAAGCCACTCTGGTATGTTTCCATCTCCATATTCTAAAATCTATTAGGTTTTATGACTAAAAGGACATACGTTCTGCCCTTGCTGCACAATCCCAAACTTCCCAAATCCCTTTGTGCACAACAGTGCAGGTGGGAGAAGAGAGTCTTTGAAGTAAACGTGTTGTTTCACTGAAAGCAAAAGGATATGAGTGACATCCAATGATCTGCAGGCTGATGTTTGGCCCTATAGATAGAGGGAGTCTCCTGCAAGACACAACCAGTTTTGTAGATATCAACCTGTATTTCGATGGAAGTTTTAATGGAGAGGACCACAAAGCCACAACACTTCACATACCTCACTGAGCTGCAGCACCATTCTTATGAGCTACAGGCTATATTTAAAACAGCACCTAGTAGAACTAAGTATCTCCAATACATTGATATTTCAAAGCTCTTTGAGAAAGCCTCCTTTTTCTTCATGATATACAGTTTCCACAGATTAAGTTCCAATTTAAATCCCTTCTGAGCAGGGTGAAAAGTACACTGTAGCATTTCGTACTGACACTGTTAGCTGGTTAGATATCAGCCAAGCATGAGTAGTTCAGCCCTCAAATTGATCCCCTCAATTATTTCTTTATAATCAGCATTCTGAATAGTGGAAGATTAAGCTCAAGAACACTTTCGATCACAGAGTTGTTTCTATGTACTGGTCCCTTGGCACAGTCACCTATGCCAGTGAAGCAGAAATTGATTTAAGACCTTTCCTGTACAAAACCACTGTTTACAGGTTCTTTAATGGGGCAAGAAACTAATGTGCATGTTAGAAATGAACTATTTTCCTCCACTACTCAGGGAAAGAAACTAAATAAAACACTTCTAACCAGCTGGACCAGCAATACAGCCACCATGTTAGCTCAAAACAAACTATGTTACTTCAGCATTCTCTCCTGCCATTGCTGCGGAACCACATCAGTTCTGTACAGCCACAACTAGACTTGGATTTCAGAAAGAAAAGAAACAATTTAAAGAACTTAAAAATTGTGTTAAGCTAATTCATCAGCTTAGGTTCTCAACAGCCAATTTCAAGACCTTTCTTCTAGAATGAGTTAATTTAATATGAACGAAAAGCAAACACGCAAGCCACATCTCTCTGACCCCTTCATTTAAGTGATGTGGAAGTGCCAATGCAAATCACAAGCAAATACACTCATTGAAACAGTCATGCTGCACTACCATACACACTCGAAGATGGTGCTATAAAACATCCCATTTTTTTTTTCTCATCCCCATGGTACATTTCAAAGCTCTTCCTGCTGTACTGATGGTTCTCCTCAGGCCTTTTCTGTCAGAAAATATTTTTCTTTCTTAGTTTTTATAGTCCCATAAGTCTAAAGCAAAACTTAATGCTCAGAACTCCACTATTAGACACAAAAATAATAACTGCATCCAGCCATTCAGTTTTTATTATCTGCAGTAAGAAAAAAAATAAAAATCAGCCATTTAATACTTCACAGAGAAAAAAAAAAACTCTGAAATATTAATTCCATGCAGACTGTAAAGAACCAGTGGTTTCTATACTTTAGACTTATAAAAGGAGAAATTTATAAACTAAAACATTTCTTTTTACTACTCTCCACCAAAAAGCACCAGTTTTTTAACAGCCTGTACATCCCTAAACAAAATAAATATACTGTTTTGGTTTTCTTTAAACCTAGGCATTCAACTTACTTTTTATAAGTACATAACACCCAAAAGCACCTTCATATAACTGGTATGTTGGTTCAGTAGCCACTACCATAACCATTATATGCAAAAAAAAAAAATTAAATAAAGTAAGAAAAACAAAAACCAAAACCAACCTTGGCCATATTTTCTATGCCTGAGAACATCCAAAAAAGTTTGCTAAGCTCAAAAGCACTAAACACCACAGCACCCTAAAAAAATCCACAGCACAAAAAAAGTTAACTGGCACACACCAACATAAGTATTAACAAAACTCAAAAATTTTAGTTAAGAAAAAAGCATTTCAAAAAACTCAAAAAAACAAAGCAAAAAATAAAAGACAAAGCATAAAAACCTCAAAACACCCCAAACACCTCACCTTGATAAAAAGCAAACCCAAATGAAATGCCCTGTTTGGAAGCTGTGCCTTATATATCCCAGGCCCTACCCACAGCCCCTCCCTCAATGCCCTGGCTCAGGGGTGGGGGCAATCACTACCTGGGGTAAAAGCAGCCTGACAAGGGACAGCTGGGTTGGTTTTGATTGGATTTTGCTTTATTGCCTTATCTCTGGCTTTTAAATTTTTGGTTTCTTTTTTGTCCTTTAGGTTTACATTCAAAACTCACAGACTGCATAGCTTCAATTTTATGAAGTCAGGCTGAGAATTATGTTTAGTTTCTGACTGTGTAGGGTTTTTTTAATCTCAGATTCTGGGTCTCGGATTCACAGGAGCTTATTTCCACACAGAGTGGTTCAGACTCATATGTTTAAGCTGCACAGGTGCTCTAGCTCACACTTAGGTTCAATCTGGCTTTAACTGCCTCACTCATCCACACAAGTCTCATACTAACACAGAGTTCTTGGCTCAGACTCGCTCTCACTTTCTAACTAAATAAAGACATTCAGGTGGTTTAGCCAAGGTTGGGAGCTTTGAAAGAGAAAGAGGGCTATTACAGAACAGGCCAGCATTGGTGGGTGGGGTGGTGGTGGTGATGATGATGGCCAGCACAGGGTGCTCATGTTGGTTCTTTTGTTTCTTGCAGGTGATAAAGAGGAACTTGGCAGCTGTGGCAAGATCCCAGGATCAGTTTGAGATCCATAGCAGTATAGAAGATAAGTAGAAGGACTGCTGCTTGGGACTGGAGGGTGAGGGACAAGATCAGGATGGCAAGAAGGTGTTTGAAGTATAGCATGGGGCTGAGGGAAAGGCAGGGGCTATTTTGCAGCATGAGCTTACATGGGTAGGGCAGCTATAGCTTGACTGTGTTATGGAGTGAGGGTGTCACCCATAACCCTTCCCTCAGTGCTCTGGGTCAGGGGTGGGGCAAACTCCCAGCTGGGATAAAAGAACCCTGACAATCCACAGCTGAGTCTTACTTAATGTGGCTCTGCTTCATTGGCTGCTTCCCACCTTTAATTTTTGGCTTTTTTTCTGTGGCTTAGACTCCCATTCAAGATTCAGAGACCACCCAGGCCCCCTCTCACCCAGACTGGCTCAAACTCATACTCCATTTAAATTGCACAGACACTCTCTGGTTCAGACTTTGCCTCACACTCACTTAGGCTCAATCTGACACTGGTTGGCTCATACATCCACATAAATCTCATACTGATTCTAACACAGAATTTCTGGTTCAGACTACTTGAATAAGGTTCCCTGACACAAAGTCAGCCTCTCTCCAGCTGAAATATAACATTCAGATTACTCAACTAAGGTGAGCCATGCTTGGAATACCCAAGAAACAACTTTTTTCAGGGAGCTGCAGCTTCTATTTTTCTCTTAATGTCTACCTGTTTCAATTTTGGTTTTAGGTGCCACAAGTAACTCAAGAGAGGTGAAGCTGCCAACTGAGGAGGGCTGTGAGAAGGTAAAAGGTTTGTCTGCCTGAGTGGTGACTCAGAGAATAACACGTCAAAGGGTTCACTATTTGTGTTTGTCACTGCATGTCCTACCTTCTATCTCTGGAATCAGATGAGTGTTGGATGTGAGGTAGGGAGGTAACAACAGTGGTTGTGAGGGTCACTTACTTCTTGCAAGCACTATGGTTAATTCTCTTTATTGTATCCTAGGTTCTGGAGTGCAGCAGGAGCCTAGCACCCTATTCTGCAATAGATTTGGTCAAGGCAAACATAATATTAAGAAGGCTAAGTAGAGATACAGAAGAGGCGGGCATCGATGGCTGGTGTGCTGGAAGTAATGACCAACACAGCCTGTTCCCTCTTCTTTCTTTGTCTCTGGCAGATGATGAAGAGCAACTTGGCAATGGCTGCAACATGGCTGGCATCTGCTGTGGGAGTTATGAGCAGTGCGGCTGCCTGGAGACACATGGCACTATGCACGTTAAGTATAGGGAGTGTTTTAGGAGGCGAGGGCGAGGGGGACAATGTCAGAATAGCAAGAAGGAGTTTGAGGGGTAGCATTGCAATGTAGTATTTGAGCCAGAATGTCTGAGAACACCCTTGGAGGTGCATGGGAGGGGAATGGTCAATTTTAGTGTAGGTAGTGCCTCAGAGTCACATGCCAGGATGAAAAGGTGCCGTTTGTGGGGCTTAAGTCTGAGGTATTATGTCAGGGAGAATAGGTAATGATCCGTGGTGAAACACAAAATGGGGGAAAGTACTGTTTGTTCTCTTTGGCTCCTTGCAGACAGTTTTGCTTTGGCTGCTTCATGCAGAGTCCAGCTTTGGTTCCTACCCAGCAAGTTCTGCTTTTGAAGTGCCTGGGAAAGTCCTGAGCCTTGGAGACCTTCTTAGATTTGGTTGGGCGCTTCTTGCAACGTGGGCTGGCCCCCTGCGTTGCAATGAGTGTTCAGTTTTTGTGAGTGTGAAAGCCTGAGCCTCATGCTGTGTGAGGGAGGCAGAAGCTCATGGCAGGCAGGTGAAGGTTGCCTGCACGGGGACGCCCGCTAAGGCTGAGCCTGCCACCTCGCACTGCCATGATGATTCTCGGAGCTGGTTTGCTGATGGTCTTCCTAGGGTCCTTGGGCTTGGTAAGATAAAGAAGCATGAGAAGTATCCTTTCCTATCTCTATAGTTTGCCATGTTAATAAACTATTAGTGAGTTGTTTGCTTGTCTCTGGTTTTGTCTCGCCTGGAATTGTTGAACGGTGCAAGGTATGTGGTGCAGTTTTATAATGACAGTGTAGCTGTGTACTCTTGATGAGCTGTGTGAATGGACAGAAGAGCTCTGAGAATAAGCTTGTAATGAATGAGTCAGGGCCAGAGAGTCTTCTTGGGAGTGGGTGTGATAGTATATCTAGAGTTAGTGTTTGAGGTAGAGGGTGTAGGGGCTGTGTTGAGAGTGTCTGAATGTCGGTTTGTGTATGCATGTCAACTGAAGTGTCAGTGTGAGCTTGGGCTGAGACTTAGACACAGAATAAGCTTTTGTTTGGCATTGAGGTAACGGATGCCAGGTTGTTCTTGCAGAAGGGGAGATGGTTAGCCCCATGTGAGAGGCTGATGTAGTAGAGTTGAGCAGAGTTGAAGGTACCGGGTGGGTAAACTTGTTGTGTCAGAAGCAAGTTATGCCTTGTTTTTTTGGCTGGCTTGTGACTTGCTGTATTTTTTTAATTTGGAGGTGCAGAACATGGAGCTAAGTGAGACCTCTGACCCTGACCTGACTTGAGCAAGGTGAGTTATAGTTAGAGAACTGAA